ATGAGATTGAAAACATTTATTTTCCAAAAAAATATTTTATATAAAAGTTGTAAGTTTTTCTCTTTTCGATACAAGATCAATCTCGTAAAATAGTGATTTTTTAATAACTATTTTAATACTTTTATATTCGAAATAATTCGAATTCATATTGGGTAACAAAAAATATGATTGCATTTATAAAAAATAGTGACGATAAGAAAATATCGAGAATGAGTCCATTTATGAATGAATCATAATCATGTAGCCTCCTTGAAACTATTACTTTTATATAAAATCTTTTTTTTTTTGGAAATGCTTATTTTCCGAAATATTAAGGGGTTCCGACACTTTTCATTCATCCTTTTGTATATGTGTATAATTAATACTTACTTGTGGCTGTACTTGCTGTGAACAGTCTTTAATGTTTCTTTATGTTTTTTATGCAATCCCTGATTTAAAAGATTGCAAATATCTCTTATATCGCTAAGTTTATAACCGCTATAATATTCTAACGTTGAATTCCATCCTCCCAGATCCTTCATTAACAATGCAAGTAGCAATGCCGCTGCTGCCATTTTGCTATCACTGAATCTGATCGTCGTATAATCCATCAACGAGTGTTCCAATATGTACCGAGCCAAAGTTAATGTGGGCATAGACACCTTGGCACACTAGTTTTAGATAGTGATTAAATTAATGTACATTGTGAAGATTCCAGTCGAATAAAATAAGACATTAAAATTCCCAGCAAAAAAACATAATTTTCTTTAATCTAACTTGAAAAATAATACAGGGTGTCACCCACTCCCCCCTCAGGGAAACACCCTGTATATTTTTTCTAACTTCTTGTATGCAGTTGAATATATCTAAGATTTATATATTAAGAAAAAAATATCGAGTGTTTTGTTATTCGGGTTCCAATTCTACATTCAACATAGATTTAACATAGATCTTTCAATTGTTAGGCATTACTTTCATAACTTATTCAAGCTTTAAGAGATGCTGAACTCGTCTGTATTACTAACAAAATATGATATTTTTCCTGTGATATTTGACACTTTTTATGTATTAATTTTATAGATTTGAAAATTCTTTTCTACAATTAAAGTTTATGCATTCTTTTATCTATCATATGACATTCATATCAAATAAGAATAAAAAAAATTTTTTAATTTAGATCTTTTTTTATCATTTGTTACTTTAATATGACATTCAAAGCTGTTAAATCGTGTCAACAATTGTTTTATATAAAAATTTTGCAATCCGCAAAACTAACATCGTTAAATTGGTAGATTATATAAACAATATTGAGTTCTTAAGATTAGACTTATTGTTAGATACGTAATACAAGAAATGCACACAAAAATTTGTTTATATGTACAAATGTATGTATAACATGACTATATTTATGCATAAATGTGCATGTGTAAACGCTTTCATCGAAGTTTATTTGTTTCTCCAACATCCTTAAAATTTTAATACTTTTTTTACTTCTGAACACATTATCTTTAAATAATAAAATGAAAGCAGCTACTCAACGAACTTGATCTGATAATTTTTATTGAATTTATATTCATGTAAATTCGGAATCAATTGATTGTATTGCGAACTACATATCGTTATTTTTAATTACGAGCAACAGCTGAAAGTTACCTAAATTTAGTTACCTAACCAAGTTATCTAAAGTAAAGTTAACTAAATTTTTTTCCTTTTAATAAATCGATAATCAAATTTGAAATCGATTACTCTTCCATCTTTTATATATTATCTTTAAATATATAGTACTTTTAAATTTAATATCAAGAAATAAAATCAATGTCTTTTTTTTTGGAAAGAAAAAAAAGAGAAAAAAAAAATAATATGTGTTGTCTAATTCATTAAAATCTTGATAGAATAATTTCTAAGGTATAAATTAACAGTTTTGCTTACCCTGGCATAACGCCGAAGAAATCTGTAAGAAAGAGGTATTCCCAAATCAAAATTAACTACTTTTAAGACATTCATTTCCATTTTAATCAATTCCCTCTGCGAGTAAGCGCCGTCACATATATACAAAAAGTCTTCCACCATTGGTGGTATTCGTTCCTAAAGAGAATCAATTTCTGTGTTTATGTTGGGTTCGAAAATAAATAATAAATATAATTTTATTAGATAAATATTTGGATATAACAAAGTATAATTGTATTGGATAATAATTTGTAATTAGATATAATTATTAAAAAATGACTTACGTCAAATTTGCTTGCTATGAAAAGACTTGCAGCACCGAGCAGTTGTAAGGTTTCTTTTCCGACTGTCACCTTCGTCAGATACAAGTCGACCAGTTTCACAGCTAGATATAGGGTCTCATGATTAAGTTCAAATGATTCCTGAACTTCGACCATCCAGTCGACTAATAATGCCCTCATCCATTGCGAAAGGCATATCTGTCGCTCCATGTAATCGTCGATAGGAAACAAGCGTTCTCGTTTCTTCAAGTAGTCGAAGATATCCATCGCATAGTGTGACACTTGATATGGATCTAGCCAATTTTCGATATCAAAGTCCCATTGGACACCTTCGGGCAATTCTCTCTCAGGTACAGCAGTTAAGAGAGCGGCGGCCGAGACTTTTACTTTATCTTCCTTCGGAGATAGCGTAGTCTCATTTTTCTCAGTTTCTTTTTCGTTCGTTTTTTCATCAATCTATATACGTTTAATTTATTGATACCAAATGTAAACAATGATGTAAAATAAAATATAGTATTGTCTTAGAGTTAAAAAAAATACACGTTTAATTTCTTGAATCTTTACAAAAATTTCTATAAAAATTGTTAATTTTATAAAATATATTATAAAACAAATTTTATAAAATCTAATTTTTATCAAATTTTAATTTCTAAGTATTTGTTAATAAATAAGAAAAATGAAAAAAAAAAAAAATAACTAATTCTAAAAAATTGTATGTGATATATAGCAAAAAATATTTTTTACCTTATTACTTCTGCGAGTTCTTTTCATGCTATCTGAAACATCCTCTAAAGCACTAACATACAATGAGTTATCCTCCGATTTCTCTAAATCTATACTTCGCTTGTTATGTACAATTTTGTTAGCAATTTCTGTTTTATTATCTTCTTTTTTAAGAATAGACTTAACACGAGGTACTGGTTTTAATTTTGCTGGTGCAATTTTTGATACAGTATTATCTGTAGGTTTCTCTAAAACAGTGTTACTTTCTACAACTGATTTGGTTTGCGTCACTTTTTTCGTTGGTTGATTTTGCCCTCCTAACGATGTTGTAATAGCCTGTTGCAATAATAAAAATATTATATATAATAACATATAATTGCATATAATAAAATTATATTACATATAGACAAGACATTAATGCAAACATTATAATGTAATATACGTTACGTTGTAATAGAATATATATTTGCATTTTGATAGCAATAATCAGAGAATACTTACATTAGTGATATTTGTAAAGGCACATCTCTTATTCGATTTTTCTTTAGTTGGCGAAATCTCTGCTTTCCGCTTGGCACGAGTATCTCTGCTAATACTGGATTGCTGTTTTAATACATTGTTCAGTAAAGTATTCTGACTTCTAGTTGTTATTCCTTTCCTCAAGGTTGCAGTGCTCTTTTGTCTATTTTGTCCGAGTAATACTTTTGGAGGTGCCATTTTTGGGTACAATAAAACTTTGGTGCTTCCTTTCCTTATCTAATTCCTATTTTTTTAAAACACATGTTATTAATTTATGACGTATGATATGTATAATAATATGTGTAAATATAATATGAATATTTTTTTTTAATGTAAATCACAAAGCTGTTTCAGAGAGATTGAGGAAAATCACAAAAATTTCAATTATATCATATTTGATTTACAATTAGATAGTAATAAAATATATTGATAAGATTTATATTTATTTAATCAATTTTATTAGAAATAAAAAATATAAACTTATTTAAAATACAATAAAATACAATTAGGAAAATAATATTTAAATCAATTTCTTTGATAATTTTCGTTGACATAAATTATTACTATCATAAAATATCCAATAATTCAATTATAGAAATAATTGAATTATAATGTTTAATTTGTTTACGTTTATTTTTTTAATAAGTTTATTATAAAAAAGTTTATTGTTTAATCTGATTAGTTAATCTGATTTCTATTGTTAAGACATAAATTAATAAATTATTTTCACACAGCCTGTTTCACACACACAAAATTGAAATGAATACTTAGATTTTGTTTTTCATTTTCAAAAAAATCACAATCAAAAAAATATTTGAAAAATACTTATAATGTATAACAGTATGCTTATATCTATATTACAATACAGATCTTTCACATAATAGTTGGTTTAATAAATTTAAAATTAAATTATTTCTTTTTTAATTTTACATTAATATATAATTTAAATTTGAGACTCTAAAGTGAGTTTTATTTGCAAAACATTCTTAAATAAATATAATATTTGTCCAGACTTTAGTACATTTTATTTACTTGCTTTATTTCATATGTGATTCTAAAAACTTCACTGAAGATAATTAAGTATATTTTTATGAAATATCTCATGTATTTCAATAAAAATGATGATATTAACATTAAGTACTTTATTAATCCTCAAAATTTTTTTTTGTAAATTAAAAAACTATATAGTAACTTTTACATATCAGTTAATGATTAACTCTTGCTAACAAATACAGACATAAGACTTTGTTTTACATTAAACGTGATAATTATCAAAAATATATTAATACTTCTTATTTAATAACTGGAATCCTTAAGTCCTGCGCACAATGGAGAAAATATGAGAAAGAGGAATAAATATTAAATGTTAAGATCTATATATAATGGCTAATAGGAACAGAGAATAACGCAAGCAATAGAATTTAATCTACATCGCTCTATTATATAAAAATAGAAGGACAGAACATTACTTTCTCACTTTATCAACTCGGACATCAATTTTAGTGAGAAGGCATATTCAATACTATAATATTTATGATTAATAGGCTAATGTGTCAATTGATACATGAGATCTGTTCCTTTTGGCTCAATCTTTGCACGTTCATCTTTTCTCTTTTTCTTTCTGACATGGAAAGAATTAAAGTCTTACTCTTATATTAATTATATAATATTCTATTTTATATTTGTTATATAAAACAGAATATTATGTAAATAAAATAAGAATATGTTTCTTGCAAAGTTATATTTTTACTTTTTTAATATTTTGCATAAATGCCATTTTAAATTTAGATTTTGTAAAAAAACCAAACAAAAATGTTACTTTGCAAACTCAAGATAAAAATTAGTTTATTTCAGATATAAATTAAATCCGCTATTCGAGGATTAAGTACACAAGTATTATTCAAATTGTTTGCTTTTAAAGAGTATCAAATACTAAAGAGTACAAAAAAGTTAATCGATTACAAAATGCTCTAAACATAGATTTTTGCAACAAGTATAAAAACAAGTCCGAATTAGCCTGATTTGAGATTGATTTTTAAATTGATTAATTTGATAATCATTCAAGTAAAATACGGCGATGGAAGCATGGAGATTACAAAAGTATCCTTTCGAAAAAGTACGGTGACTCTCGACGAGATGCTATCGATTGAATACGCTGACGCTAACGATCGGTGATGATTTTGCATACAGAATTCGGGCTCCCCGACGAACCGGGTCGAGAACCACGTCGAATCGATCGGCCAAATTAAAAGGGGATTATCCCGCCTTTCGTTCGTGTGAAAATTCACGTCGACTTTCTGTGATGAATCTTTTGCTTTTTGGAGGATTTCTCGTACCTCGCAGCTGCGCGCCAGGAGAAAAACCGCGCGCGGGAACTACCGGAATGGAACTCCGCTCCGTGTGGCCGAGCCGTCCCGACTCGTTTCTAACGTCCAATTGCCTGACACCGTCAACTTCTCCGTCAACTTTCGACCGGACCCGGGGAAACGACTGAGAAAATCGCGGACGTCGGGGGGGGGGCGGCTCGCGCGAAGGTCGCGAGCAAATATTATTCGAAATACATCCGGGGCAAATGTGGAGCCGCGGACGAGTGGAGGGCGCGGGCGAGCCACCCTCGAGGCGCGTCGCTCGCTACAGGATGTACGTACGAGCGTGTGTGCGCGCGCGCGCGCGCGAGAGTTTGTACCTACGTGACTTGAGGTCCTCGTGCATCCGCGTGTGAACGGCGAAAGGTCGTTCGTTTTTACAAGATCCTGCCACAAGGCATGCCACGCGTCCGTACGCCTAGTGTGAGACGCTCGCGCGTCCCCGTCCCGACTCGTCTCGCCTCGACTCGACTCGACTCTCACGCGTCTCACCGCGCTGGTGATTAACTGAAGTCGGCCGGGGTTCAAAACTCACAGTTACAGATAATCGGCGAGCCTCGATTGGCCGCTACCGCTGTGCCGCCGGGCCAATCCGGGCTCCGCCGCCATCATCGGCAACTACTGCCGAAACTACTACGCGCGCGCGCATCCTCGCGCGGTTAGTTAGTTAGACTGCTCTAACCTTCAATGAAACATCAAAGTTTTAAATCGCGTTTATCTCTTTTTATTAAATATTTTATTTTAAATCTCGCGTTCAGTTTTCCATTTCAGCGGAATGATATAGTTTTCTTGACTTTTAAAAATGTTTTTAATTTCAATTCTTTTATCCACTGTTGATATTTTCTTATCCCGATAGATTTAAAATATCAATTCGGATCTTTTTTTTTAAAATAAGATTTTTCTTACGCTAATCGCTATTTTACTGTAGGATTCTTACGTAACGTAGCTTATTTAACTTTATTAAACTTAATATTAACCGCAACAAAATTGATTTTTTATTAATTATTACATATAAATATTTTATATATTACTCTTACTATATGAAATAGTATCTGTTTAATAGTATATTCAAGACAAAATGTAAATTATTGGTTCAATTAAGTATCGAGCATATCGAGTTCCCATTCTCAGTCGCTGTAGGGAAGCTATCCAACGCAAAGTTCATCGAGTTTCAGAAAAGTGTATCACTGTATTGTGTATTTCATTAGTTCGTGTTTGTGCCGTTTACGTTGAGATGCAACACGAACGTTTCGTCGTGAAATACGTTACGGCAAACAATTGCTTCGCATATTTGTCGGTTACCTGGTTGCGCCGTTTGGAAACTAAGGTTAGTTTTCGTTTTACGTAATGCGAACTTCGTGATCAACCTTTGCGTCAAAACAAGTGGCACGTGATCGCCCCGTGCTGCAGTAGCGCTCCCTGCGGGCGTGGCATTTGCAAATCGCTGACCATATGATTGATGTAAACAGAAAAGCCCCTAGCAGAAAAAAATTTCATTGATAAAGCGCCATCTATTAGAAATATAATAAAGATTATTAACTCCATAATGATAAATCCGATAATCGATAAAAGGGTAATCTTTAAATAAAAAATAATTAAAAAAAATAATAATTGTCCTGTTTCGAAAACAAAAGAATTGATCTGACTATCTTCGATTAATTTATCATAATAAATAAGAATATCATAATAAATCTTCTATAGAAGATTTTTAATCTTGAGTTGAATAAAAATAATACTTGCATCAATACAAATTCAATCAAATGAAGATTACAATTTTTAAAAAGATTATAATATTTTTGCTTTACTTTTTGCTTTTTGATACGAGAATATTTTTTTTTTATTTAAGACTAATTTTTTTCTGTATAATATTATCCAGTAATAATAATTTAAATTACAGGAGAATGCGATCGAAATATCGCACAATGGAAGGAAATACTATCTTTCTTGTGTCGCCCGGATTAATAATGATGAAACATTATGTATCGGGGCGACATTTGCGAGAAGTTTAAACATTCAAGAAGGAGATGAAGTATTTGTATCTTCTATGAAAAATGTTCCTTCATTAAAGAGTATTAATATTGCTCCTCGCACCGCAAGTGATCGCGAGCTTTTGGTACGATAATTTTTATATATGTTTTTTTTCTATATTTTAGTAACGATATAATCAATCGATCTATATTTGGTGACAGGAATTACAAATAGATAAGGTACAATCAAACCTCTTGAACCAAGTGAGAATTGTCGCGAGAGGACAGCCAATCGTGGCGTGGATCTCAAAATTCTCCTCCGTGACTTTCATCGCGGGCAAGTTGTTTATTCTTTATAATGTTATTTACAGTTATTTGTTCAGGATTTACTCCAATGAAATAATGCTATTACTCTCTTATGTAAATGCTAGATTATTTTTTTGCAACATAATTTTAATATTTTAATATCAGAGAGAAAATTATTGGACGCAAAGGAAGGATCGAAAGATTAATTGATTAAGTCGTTTGGCATTATTAAAATATTAAAACATATTGTGTCTTGATATATTTTAATAAAATATATTGTTAATATATTTATTAGAGCATATATCGGAACACGTATTAGGGGGTCTGAAAAAATTTTGCTAAAATAGAAGGGGAACTGGTATATTAACCTTTCAGACAGTAGAAGACATCATGAAATTTGTCTTGGATGTATTCAAGATGTCCTAAGATATTTCTTAGGACATCCTAGATATATTTCGGGATATCTTGGTTTATGATTATTATTAATGTTGTCTGATTATATATTTTTATATTTTTTTCTCTATTTCCATAAATGCACAATACATGTGTATTTAAGAATGAATCATGTTAAATTATTACCGTTCTACAAATTATAATGAAAAATAATTATAATAATTATAACAATTATGGATAATAATTATCCATATTTGTCCAGTTGACAAGTGAATAACTGCTCCCTCTTTCCCTAATCGCTCTCTCTCTCTCTC